AAGTTTTATTAAAAGAAGGAAAACAAAGAGAAATGTCTTTGAATGAACAACTATTAGTCAAAAAGACATGTATGTATGTATGTTTATAATTTGAATATCGATCTCCTAGAGAAGTGTACAATCCCAAATATAAGGGCTTCTCTAATGAAAGCTCTTCACCACAAATCTATCTTATCCAGGATTTCTTTTCTTCAAAGGTTGCCACTGTTCCCCACCCCAATATTCCCTTCCTACTTCTCGTTTTAGCAATCTTTCTCAGCTATTAGCCCCACTTCTCACAATGAACATTTCTGGGAAAGAGAAAGAGAGAATACTCTATCACTTACTATGCTAATCTTGATTCATTCATACCATCACACCATCCCTGCACCATCACTGGGAGTCTTCAAGCCGAAGCTGACCAAGCAGAGATCACCACTTTCTTGACAATGAGGACTCCTTTTTAGATGTGGTTTAAATGAGATGATTTCTGAAGTCCAGTCCCAATCTGAGGTTCTGTAATTCCATTATCAGAGATTTTAGACCTAAAAGGGAAAAAAAACTGCATTCATTGCCCTCGATTTGTAGATCAGAAAATTGAGGCCCAGTAAAAGGAAAAGATTGGCTCAATTCTATAGTATTTCCATTCGGTACAAGTGTTGAAGTATTTACTGTTAACAGGATTTTACTGAGCCAGTCTCTAACCTGAGAATGACTAAACAGCAGACCAGAGATAAAGTGCCAGTAATCAGGTAGCCGTTTAATTAATTATTTTCATTATTAGAGACAGATTTGCAAATTGAGAATTCTCTTCATCTGTTTGCTGCTGAACTCTAAGGACAACGGGACTTTTCTATCTGGCTTGCAATGAAACCTTTCATATGTGTTGTCCCCCTATTAGAATTTGAACTTCTTGAGGTCAGGGGCTGTCTTTCTTTTCTGTTTGTTTTCCCCAGTACTTAGCCCAGTGTTTTGTACACACTATGTACTTAATAAACGCTTTATTCATTCATTTTCATATACATAGAACACAAATGATTACATATGAAACCAAGAATCTCTACTTCACACTATTACTTTTAAAAGTATATATGCATATATTGTAAATTCTATATTATTACTTTTGAAACTGTCCTACTTATCTTCTGAACTTCCTTATGTGCATTTAAGAAATGTTACTGCTTTCTTTCTTAGCATCACTATTTTTTTTACTTTTATTTTTTATTATTTTTGGGCAATTGCAGTTAAGTGACCAGGTCACACAGCTAATAAGTGTCAAGTGTTTGGTCTGAGGTCGGATTTGAACTCAGGTCCTCCTGACTTCAGGGCAGTGCTCTGTCCACCACACCACCTAGCTTCCCCCTGGCGTCACTATTCTTAAGCTATTTCTTTCTTTCCTTCTCCCTCCACCCCAATTAACTAAGAGGGAAGGAATGGAGGGAACCCTTGCACCAAATAAGCATTATGTATCAAAACAAATCTAACAGAGGAGCCATGTCCAAAAATGTATGCTTCTGCACATCATGTCTGTTACCTGTCTGCCATGAGGTGGTTAACACATTTTATTGTAGGTCCTGTGAAGAGATGGTTGGTTGATCATTGTTTTAATAACAATTCTTAAATCTTTCAAAGTTATTTTTCTTTATAATGTTGTTTACTTGTATCTAAACCACTGTTTACATGTGTGTTCAGTTCTCCTTTGTCTACTTGAGATAAGATTGAGGTTAATCTGATGCCCATGAATTCCCCTACCCTTTTTTCCATGCTTGCATACTCTTCTTCTCATGCACCCCAGTTGTGAAGTAGCAAGATTCCATCCCTTCTTCCTCCTTTATATATTGGTGTATTCCTTCTTTTATTCCCCCTTTTCTTTATTTCCTCTTAAAGCCTCAGAACAGAACCAGTCTATCTCCAGCACCTCTATTTTTCTTATTTAACTCTCTTAATATCCTCTTGAAAACATTAAGGCTTAGAAGGGATATATTTTTTCTCCCCATCTTAGAATTTTAGTATTATATCATCACACAGCTCCTTCCAATGACTATGTATTCTCCTAATTTCTTCTCTAAACTCTTTTTATTTATTTCTTTTTAATTCTTTAAGCTGTTTCTTAATGTCTTCTAGGTATTCATGTAGTCCTTGTGGAAAATGCCTTTTTTCCCTCAAGTCTCTGCTTAACAGTTGTTATGGAATTAGTTTTGTGATATATATTATGTATATAATACATATATATTTGTATTATGTATATAATTTTGTATTATGTTGGGTGGCATTTTCCTTTGATTTGCTCATCTCTCTAGCTTTTAGTTCCTGAATTTGGGCTTTCATCCAAGTTTAGTCTCTGCCCTCTGCTTTGCTCTTGAATAGGGTGGTTGGCCCTCCTTGGTCTTGCCCTGAGTTCCCTGGGTTCTTGGACTGACCTTTACCTCTTGAGGTTTTCTCGCCCTCATATCTTTGAGGTTCTTAGCCTTCTCTGGTATCTCAGGACAAAATGTTAGAAACCCCAGAAACCCTGGGTTTGGGTTGTCCTGATCTAAGTGCTACTGGAGTAGGGTATTGTGCTGGTTCCTACCCACTACCTGGGGCTTCCAAGATCACCCACTTTGGGGCTTTCTGACACCCTGGGACTTTATTAGGGGTAGATCTCCTCTTTTGCTGCTTCTGGACTCAGAGCCTTGCTGGCTCTACCTTGTCCAGTCTCTGGTAGTGCTGACTGGAGCTTACCTTGCTGGAAGGGCTGTTTCCTATTGCTCGTGGGCTTCTGAATGAATTTTGGTGCAGTTCTGGGGTGGAAGATGTCATTTATAATTTCTCATTAGATTTCTTGATCATTATTTGTTCTGGTGTTTACCTCTAAGTTTTTATTGGAGGAAGCATGTAGAAGGTTGGTAGTCTTCTTTCAAGCTGCCATATTGGCTGCAAGTCCCTAGTTGGCTTTTATTGCCTCTAGGATAAAAAAATGAACTAATCTTTTTGGAATTTTTAAGCCCTCCACAACCTAGCTTCAAGCTACTTTTCCAGTCTTATTTCTGTATTTTCTTTATTTTACAGTGTAGCCAAACTGCCTTTATTACTGCTTTCACACACAACATTCCATCTTTGATCTTGGTGTCTGCACTGACTTTCCTTAAAATTCTGTGTTGCCAGTCCAAGTACCATCTTCTATCTTGTCTTTCTTGAACTTCCCAACTTCTGATTTCCCCCCCATACTATAATTTTTTTTGGTATGCAATTTTATATATATATTATATATATATATATGTTTTGTGTCCCTTAATAGAATGTAAACTCCTCGAAGACAAGAACTCATGCTTATTTTTGTCTTTGAATCCCTAGTCCACAGTACCTGGCATATGAGAGAGACTTAAACAATGCTTGTTAATTGATTGATTGATTCTACTGGTGGGTTATCTGTAGGTAGTATTAATTAGTAGAACTATAATTTGAACCCAAGTCTTATAACTTAAGATGCAGGCTGTTTCCACTAAAGCACTTTTGTATGGCTGAACTAGGAGCAAGAAGCCCTGACTGAACTAGTAGCTCATTGGAGTTAAAATTTCTGACAGGCAGTAGCTGTACTGTAATGGTTCTGTCATTTACTAGATGTACTTAACTAGGTAGGTTATGTGAACTTGAGGAAATCACTTAAATTTCTTTGAATCTTCTAACAGGACCTTGAAGACAGATGAGAGAAACCTAAATCTGGATCTGAGGTTTCTTCCCCCATGCTCCCTTTTTTATTTTTTTTCTTTCCATTAGGTTAGAAAGGATTTCAAAAGTCATGTAGTCTAATCCTTTGATACTATATGAGAGGAAACTGCAGTACAGAAAGGGAAGAAGCTTTTCTAACATCACAGAGCAACTTAGCATACCAGAACTCAGGTCATTTAGCTTCCAGGCTAGGGCCTTTTGTATAGGACCATAACAGTTCTCTTGCCTTTGATTTTAGGAGGATCTGGTCCAGGTCACTGAATACAGAGAGGACTTTGGAGCTTTCTCTATATATTTCTCTTGAAAGTGTCATTGACACTACTGTCAAGCCAGTGACAGCATGACCTTGGTTTCTGTGACCTGCTGCCAGCATTGCATATTAGTTCTTTCCTCACTCCTGGCTTTCAAACTAAGTCTGGATCATTAAAGAATGGATACTTCTTAGTGTCCAAGACATGATTTTAGATTCTTTCTTTTGTGAAAATATTTAAGTGAAGGCAGGTCACCTAAGTGATATGTGTGTGCATATATAAATAAATTCAAAACATTTTCCAGAAATGTAGCTAAATATTATCCATTAAAAGTTAGAAAAGTTAGAAGGGCTGTAGTTTAGCTTTCTTTTAAAAAATCTATAAACCCAGTAGTTAATTATTTAAAGCATTGATAATAGCTCACATTGAATTATGAGATCATTTGTTTTATTCTGCAAAGAGCTGAAATATTTCAACAAGTACATTTTTGACGATATGAAAGACATTTTTATTAGCCATTGCAAACCAGCTTTCATTTCAGAAGCAGGTGAGCTTTATTAGTGAATTAGCTGCATGGCATTTTTTCCCAATCATTTTGTTTTCATGAGGAACCTCGGGAGAAATTGTCATGATCAAGAAGAAACATTTATTTCTGCAAGATTTGGTTCTGGTTTAGAGGCTCATAAAGGCTTTCTTTCACATATCCATTTCATTTTATCTTCACGATAACCTGTGAATGGTAGAGCATTATTCTTTACGTGCCCTTCTTTAAGATGTGGAAACCGAAATTCAAAGAGGTTTAGAGACTTCCCAAAGTTCACACGTAGAACGCTAACGTTGGGCAGGGAAGTGGCAGATTCGGGACTAGGGCACAGGTCAGTTTATTGCCTCTTGCTCAACAGTTACTGACTCAGAAGTATGAGCGCTAGTTTCTGGCATTTCAAGGTGAAAGGGGAATTATGTAAGGAATTTCATACAAGATAAACTGACATCCATACTGACTGCTGGGAGATTACAAGCTAACACTAGCACCAGATCCCCTTTTCCTCCTAATTCCTAAAGGTTCAGCTTAGTTCCCTTCCCGCTGTATTTCCCGTGCCTGGGTTGTGCTTTACGGAGTGGAGTGGAGAGAGATGGGCCCCCCCTCTCCCCCCGACAAAGGATTTGTAAACTCTGCAAAAACCTCGCAGAGGTCACAGCCCCTTCAGCGCATCAAACCCTCGGAGCAGAGAGAGGGGTTGGACTGCGGTGAACTAGAGCGATCGCTTGCTCGGCCGTCTCCTGGTTCTGCCTGGCCCGTTGCTAGGGAGAAAGGGGACGCGCGCCGAGGCCCCTCAGAGTGGCCTCAGCGCAGGCGCCTGGGCTGCTGAGTCGCATCCACTACAGGCCTAGCTGAATCTTCCCTCGAGTTCCCCTCTTCTGGGTCCGGAACACGGAATTCATTGTCCTCCCGGGACGGGGGAGAAAACGGGGTGTGTGGGTCTGAGGAGAAAGATGGAGTCAGGAAAGGTTAGTGCGGGGAGGGGGCCGGGGCGCGACTTTGGAGAGCCCTTCAGGGCCTTTTTCCGAGGGCCACTGGGGTCCGGCGGTTCTTTTTCGGTCCCCTGGCCTTGCCCTTTCTTCTTCATCCCTTGCTCGGAGGAAAGCGGTTAAAAACGGATCCGCCTTTGCTACTCACGTGTTAGCAATTTCACTCCTAGGAGAAGCTGCTTTAAAAGTGGGTTGGATGCAGAAAGGAGGACTTGGGGAAGGATGTGGACAGAGTCACTAATTTTTTACGTGGAAACCATCCTTCCCTCCCCGCCCCCATCCCAAAAAAAGATACAACCCCCCCCCCCACACCTCCCCGCCGCGTAGCCATGGGATGGTAGTAGCCCTGGTTCTGCTTTAGCTGGAGATCTCTGCCTTTCCTCATGGTCGAGAAAGTTGTTGTTTTGAAGGGGTGGGACAGGTTTGTTGTCTGCTCCTCTTTATGCGGTATTTTGTAGGAAGTCAGATTCTTGAGATGAGCAGAGCAGCAAGCATTTAGGTGACACTTCAAGATTTGCAAAGTGCTTTACACGAATCTGCACGTGCACACCCCTGGGGGGGTAGGTACCATAAGTAGTATTAACCCCCAAGCACGCTTAGAGGAACGAAATGATTTTGCCCATGGCCACGAGAGTGCCACAGGCAGAATTCAAACTCTGGTTTCAGATTTCAGCCCTTATGCTCTTATCTGCTGGACCATCCACACTCAGCTTGATAACAAACATTGAGAAACCGTTATCAGTCAAGCTTCAAGCATTTATTAAGTGGCCAGTGTCTTGAAAGGCTCTGTGCTAGGTTCTGGGGACACAAAATAAAATGGGGAGAAAAAAAACAATCATGAGTGCAAATTGAAATATGATTTTCTCACTCACTTTATTTTTCTTGCTTTTTTTGGAGACATGGCTAATATGGAAATACGTTTTTGCATGATTTCACATGTTTGATACATTGCCTTCTTGGTGGGTGGGGGAGGGTGTGGAGGGAGAGAGAATTTGGAATTCAAAAAAGTTTTTAAAAATTTATTTATTTTTAGTTTTTAACATTCACTTCCACAAGATTTTGAGTTCAAATTTTCTACCCATCTCGTCCCTTCCCCCACCCCAAGACAGCGTGCATTCGACGGCTTGCATTCTGAATACTCCTTTTAATTCAAAAAAATTTTTAGAAGAAAAATGTTAAAAAGAAGTACTTTTAAAAAGAAAATAAAAAACCAACCCATCTTGTTCCTTAAGGAGTTTACATTGTAACAGGGGAGACAAGTACATATAACTATACACAGTAAATATAAAGAGAGTAAATTCAAGCAAACACAAATAATTAAATATTGGTTAGTTTGAGAGGGAGGACATTAGCATGTGTGTGTGTTTGTGTGTGTTCTGGGGAAATCAGTAAATGTTTCATGGAGAAGGTACTGCTGTAATACAAAAAGAAAAAAGAGTGCTTTCTTTTCTTGAAGAAAACAGAGATTCTGTGATGCCAAGGGAAGAGGACCAGGCATGCAGGATTGCTAGTGTAACAGCAAGGAATATTGGAGAGTAGTGTGTAAGGAACCAAGAGTGGTTGTACATGGTGGAGGATGGGGAAATATCCATTGAGGCTTGAAAGAGAGGTTGGAGACAAGTTGTATAGGACTTTATAAAATTTCAATTAAAAATTTTTTTCCCATTTATCCAGTTACTTGTTTGCTTGTTCTATCCATGCTGTAGTTTCAGTTGATTCATTTAATGATTCAGCTATGTTACTTGTCAGGCTTATTGAATGATAATAAGAAGAGACACATTTCTATCTAAACTTGTAAATGGCTTATCAGCATTCAAACTGAGTATATACTTTGTCAAAATACTCTATCCTCAGAGTTCTACTCCATACTCATACTGGCTAAAAAATGCAGAGGCTTATATAAAGCTATGAATGTATGTAGAATAATTCATTTGAACTTGTATAGGGCATTAAGAGCTAAAGAGAAAGAGAATTTAGAGGGAGTAGAGAAATAGTCTCTGGACAGAAACTTGGAGAAGAAGCCTCTATGAGAGCCCCTGATGGGAATGATGAGCCAGGCAAGGATCAGCCAGATAGGTAAGAGAACCTTGAAAAAGAAGCGACATAAAAATCCAGAGAGGGGAGAGCGTCTAGGAGGAGAAGGGAGGCCCAGAGTGTCAAATACAGCAGATAGGTCAAGAAAGATGGGGGCAGTGGGGGGGAGGGGGTGAGAGGAGCATTAGATTTGGCAGCTGGGATTATTGGTTGTTTTGGAGAAAGCAGTTTCTATTGAGGTCGGCAGCCAGATAGCAAGAGGGTCATCATGATGATTACAGTAGTGACCTACCAAGGTTTTCAGTTTGAGAGTTACCTTGTTTATATGCACAGTCTAGCACATCTTAAACTTAGGTGCTTCACGTATGATTTTATTATAATAAGCAAGATTAGCTTAATTATATGTGAGGCTGCTTGGTGCAGAGTAAAGAGCCCTTGATGTGGAGTCAGGAGTGGCCTGACTCTAAATTCTGCCCCTTAATATGAGCTATGTATGACCATGGGCAAGTCAAAACTTCCCTGAGCCTCAGTTTTCTCATCTGTAAAATATAGACAATAATACCTACAGCACCTACTTTGCAGGTTGATGAAGAGTATTTAAGATAACATGTGAAGAACTTTGTATATCTTAAAGCACTATAAAATAAATCGTTCATTTTTTCAGCATATCATCTGAAAGAATATGAATATTATGTAAAGGATTTTTCTCAGGCATGTTCAGGTGTCTGTTAAGTTAAAGTACTGTCTCCATGCAAAAAAAAAAATCATTTATCATCAGCTAGGTACTGCAGTTGATAGAGCACCAGGTATGAAGATGTGAATTCAAATATGACCTCAGGTACTGCTAGCTTGTGTGTTGTGATCCTGGACAAGTCACTTAATCTCTCTTTGCTTTAGTTTTCTCAGCTGTAAACTAGTAATAATAATAATAGCACCTAGCTCACAGGGTTGTCATCAGGATCAAATAAGATAATTGTAAAGCATTCTTTATAAATGTTAGCTATTGATATTATTAGTCATTGTAACTTAATTCTGACTTGAAGTTAGAACCTATATGTGTTGTGTCTCCCTATTAAAACGTGAGTTGTTAGAGAACAGGGACCATCTCTGCTTTTCTGTTTGTGTTCGTAGTGTTTAACTCAGTGCTTTGCAGACATTAAGAGCTTAATAAATGCTTTTTTCATTTATTCTTTCCATTAAGCAAGTACTTTTGGGGTGTAGAACAGTGTTAAGCAGTAGGGGAAATACAGAATTTAGGTAAGACTTATCTGTCTTCATTGATTTTCTAGTCTTGAATACAAATGACAACTGTAGTGCTTGGTTAAAAAAAATTTACCTATTTATTTCTTCACTCATGTTCTGTTTTGATAAATCTTCTTGGCGGGGAGTTGACCCTGGGTCTTTGAATGCTGTGCCAGTGACTAGCTCTGGTGGTGGTGGTGTCCTCCATAATCGAAGAGGACCAAAATGACAGCATGATGTCAGGGTCAGTGTACAGTATTTCTGGCTATGGCTGATCATACCAATATGAGCTCCGAAGGCTTTACCACAGGTCAGGTACAAACAGTTCACATGAACATTTGGGAGGGATATTTCCAAATTTGTGCATCTAATGTTTCTTTTAAGCTATTCTATTTTGCTTTGCTCATAGAGCCCAGTGCTTTCTTTGATGCTGACACACCATGCTGGAAAATCCTGTGCCAGTGTCTCTCACGTCACACAGTTCTTCAGAGAGACCTTGAGAGTATCCTTGTATCTCTTCTTCTGACCACCATGTGAGCTCCTGCCTTGTGCGAGTTCTCCATAAAATAGTCTTTTAGGCAAATGTCCATTTGGTATTCAAACAACTTGGCCAGCCCATCGGAGTTGTACTCTCTGTAGAGTTTGAATGCTTGGCAGTACAGCTTGAGAAAGGACATCAGTGTCCAGTGCCTTATCATGCCAGGTGATCTTCAGAATCTTCCTAAGACAATTCAAATGGAAGGGGTTCAGTTTTCTGGCATGGTGCTGGTAAACTAGCCAGTTTTTACAAACATGCAATAATGGGGTCAGTTACAGTGGCTCTGTAGATCATCAATTTGGTAGGCAGTCTGATACCTTGTCTCTCCTACACTTTTGGAGCTTCCCCAACACTGAGCTAGCTCTGGCAATTTGTATATCAACTTCCATCATCTATGTATGCATTCCCAGAAAGTATACTGCCAAGATAAGGGAACTTATCCACAGCATTCAAAACTTCTCCATAAGTATAACTGATAGTTCCATGTATGGATGGCGTGCTGCTGGCTGGTGGAGAGCCACTGTTTTCTTTGTGTTGGTTGTCAGGCCAAAATTAGTACAAGCAGCCGAGAATCAATCCATGCTCTATTGCATCTCAGCCTCAGAGGCTGCATTGAGTGCATAATCATCTGTGAACAAAAAGTCAGCACCACCTCTCCCTCAACTTTAGTCTTGGCTTGTAGTCTTTTCAAGTTAGATAATTTATTGCCTGTACAGTAGCTGACCTTGATGCCGTTTTCGCCAAATCTTTTTGATGGGGAGTTAACCCTGGGTCTTTGAAAGCTATGCCAGTCGCTAGCTCTGGCAGGCCCCCTATAAAAGCTAGGAGGGCTTTACAGGTGCCATGTACTGATGAACAGTCTAGCTCAGAGATTCTCAAAGTGTGGTCCATTTTCAGAGGATCTCCAAGGTTGAAACAATTTTCATAAAAATATCAAGGTGTAACTTGCCTGCTGAAATACTCCTCCCTTTTCCAATTACGTATCTATGTGAGGCTAGATTTTTTTCGTATATTATGATTAAAACAACATATTGCAACAGATTGAATGTAAAAGCAGAAATAAAAATCTAGCTGTCTTAATATGAATCCAGAAATTTTTAAAATGTGCAAAAATAGTAAAACAGTACCAGTTTTCTTACTAATTTTTGGTTTGGGAAAATGTAAT